TCAATGGCTGATTGTGTGCTGCTGTAACTTGCATTAGGGATAACATGAGACTTGATGAACATCTTAATTCCTGGACTAACATCCCTTCAAGCAAATACTGTTTTAGGAAATCTGTTCACATGAGAGTTAAAGCTTATAAACCTGCTACCATGTCCCTGACTATCTGATGTTAACAGTCAAGGGTTCAATACAAGGTTCACTTCTGAACTCTATATTGATTGTCTGTTCACATCACATCATAAAGGTCTATCTTCCTAAGTTCCATTTTAATACTTATAAACTTCCTCACTCTGTAACCAGCCAAGAGCCAGGACAGGCATAAAGCCTCAGACTTTAGAACCAAGGATGTGATACTGTGGCAGGATCCATCAGTATAATACTGTTGCCCTGATATCAACTTTTAATCTCAGTATTTTTTTTTTTTATTAGGATGTCTAGCCAACTACAATCAGTCATGATTTCAAATATTCATAACACAAGTCATGAAACTTTTGGAAATTATTTTGTTAGATGATTTCTTTGCTAATGTTATTTCAGTACATGCATAGTCTGAAAAGAATTTCAGTTGAATCTCTCTTTAAACATTAAACATAACACTGAGGATCAGATAGGAATCCTCATGCTCAAGAAAACATCTAGTTTATGTCCACATATCCCCCACATCAGATGTGTATACAGCCACTTGTGTGTTTGTTACCATTCAGAGAGATGCCACGAGAGAAAAATTTTTCATAAAAATACAATTTTTATAATATAAATTTGGAAGTCTTCATTGTGGTGATTGTTGACATTGTACTTTTCTGGGATGTGACACCGTATAGTCTTATTGGTGGATAACACCTTTTCTGGAAAAACATACTGCCTCCCTCTTCAAGGTGGAAGTGTGCAGAGTGAGAACTGGGTTTGGTTGCAAAAAAGAAATGTGGTTCCTCATGCCCATGGGAGGGACAGAGGGGACAGAGAGTGAGAGTTAGGCCAATTCAAATTCTCTCTTCTGTGTGTGTGTGTGTGTGTGTGTGTGTGTGTGTGCGCGTGCTTGTGTGGGGGCATGATAGATTGTGATCTAGAAAAAGGCCGTTTTCCTGTTCATTCTTGTTGACTATGCCAAGTTCTAGTGCCTCTCCCCCTCTGTTGGGTCTAAGTGATCATCCTGCCTACATAAACCAATATTTTTTCACCCAGTATTTTTCAACCCTGATGAAGTAAGCAGCATATTTCTCTTGAATGCAGGTATCCACCTACATGAAACGATCACACGGTGTCAGCCCAGAAGACCACAACCTGAACACGTCTTCATACCAAGCATACTGTTCTAATGATAACAAGCTAAACTTGTATCTGGGGGGTGCTAGTTCATCCTCAGCAAAGAACTGATAAGCCCAGCTGAGATATTTCATATTTTCCCATAATCTCTCCAGGTGAATGTCAGGATTGTGTCTTGAAATAGGACTTGACAGCTTCCTTCCAAATCCCTTCTTGCTTAGCATTCATGATCATCTTTACATCTTGCCTGATATTGTTATAGAGTGAAGGGAATAAAACAGAACCCATATTCAGTAGGAGAAAGTTAAGTGGTATCCCATTCCAATTGGTAACTCTTTAAAGTGCTGTGGTTGCTATATGTACCATTTGCTTTACCAGTTTATTCTACCTACATGATATACTAATGTGTTAAATATGATTCTTAGACTAAAAATCAGCCGGTCTTTGTAATAGGTACACACTGTGTTTTCTATGAGTCAGAAACTAAGTTTTTAAGATTGTTTAGAATAAATTTGTGCTTCCAAGGATTCATGAGAAATTTTTTGTTGTGACGAATTTGTGTTAAAAGATTTCATCGTCACCACTGATAAACATAACCTCTAAATAAAGTGACAGCTGTTGTAATGTACACAGATCAAAAAGGGGAATTCTCTTATTATAAAAAATTTTTATTCCTGTAAATTGAACCATTAAATTAAAATATACAATATTTGATTGAACTGGTTAGGTAAAAAAGTAACATGTCCACTGGGTGAAAAGTGGACACATTCTCTCTTTTTCCAAATAACCAGTCAAATTAAGTGAAACAAATTTTTGCCTATGATTTAATATGGATATACTAAGTTGCAATGCAGTTTGGGGGAGAAGGGTACAAAATATTGGCAGTTGCCTTTTTTGTCCTTTTCATGCTCGAGTCAGGACAGCGTTTTCTAGCATGCCATGCCATTTTTCTTTCTTCTTCCTACAGTCATTCAGTATAACTTTGGATCCATGGAATGCAATGCAATATTATGTTATGTTATGTTATGTTATGTTATGATGCTTTCAGTATCTGAACTGTTTAGCACTATATGACTGATGAATTGGAAAGGACTTGGAAGGAGGCAGTCCTAACCTAATCAAAGTATTATCCTGGTATTTGCCTGAAGGGACTGAGGAAAACTATGAAAAATCTTAATTAGGATTTCCAGTGTCATGGCTAATATTCAAAGCATGTACCTCCTGAGCATAAACCTTCAGTGAGAAATCTAGACCAATCTATTTAGCAATATGGAATGCGATTTGATATAAAAGTTACATTTCCCATTAAAAGAAAAAGCTTAATAACCAGTTAATTAGGTAATGGGTGTCTGAAAAATTCTAACCAGGCACCATATGAACAGAACAAAATGTATGGTTATGTAAGAATCACACTTGTCCTGCTTCCTCATACGACATCATGTGACTGATTCTGTATATATCCCTGTATCAGTCCGTGGAGGCCCATAGGATTTTGAGATGTTGAAGTTCCCGCATTTTCTCTAGACAATCGGCTCATAGATGGCAGTAAGGTTGTCAGCCTTACCCACCGGCCACCCTTTACCCCAAGAATATTCTGGTTACATCTATGTATTTTTCATTTCAGAAGTGAAACAACATAACCTGACATACTGTACTCACATATTAGGGAAATCTGGGTTTTGGAATTCCACTGTGCTGAAATTAAGAAATGCTTTCCATAAAATTCACGATGTGCACTGTAAGTTTGCTCTTGTGGAAGTATGAAATAAATATTACATTTAAAACACAAAATGAACTACAACAACCAGAAATACTTTTAAATAAATAATTACTGTATTAAGAAATTTAGATCACATATGAGAATATGCTGGTGACATAATGAGATATGTCAGTGGTCACTGGTCACTGGTCACTGGCTAAGCTATGAACATGCATCAGTGACTGGTGACATGTTACTATTTCCATCTTATTTTAGATGCTGTAGTGTATTAACCTCACTCAAGGTGTCCAGAAGGAGGCCATCAAATTCAAGTTTCTTTCAAGTTTATTTTTGTATGCCTGCTATTACTTCTAAAGTGCGGAAAATAGTGTGAGAAGCTTTCTGTAGGAACACATCTCCATTTGTAACATGGTAGTAACAAAAATAAACTTGGGGTTGTACTGTGGAATTTCATTTTGAAGAACACATCCCTTCTGTAACAGAGATATGCTAAACCAAGAAACATGACCAATAGCAGCCAAGCCTACTTTTAGGTTTCTATTAAGTTAATATAGATAACTTCACCCACCAACACATAAGACTTTTGTACATTTTGCCAAGTTGTAACCCATGTGACTGGACCATCAATTATACTATTGTAGATCTTACAACAATGTTGTCTCAGTGAACAGGCTGGACTAGAAGTAAGGTTCTTAGACTCTTAGGCTAATGTCACATGAGCGCTGAAAACAGCGGACGCGGTTCTTCCGTCGAAATCCGCGGACGTGAAGCAGGTTGCCACACGAGCGCTATATTCCACGTCTTCCACGTATTGCCAAGTCAGTCTTTGGGGAGGCTTCATGCTGCGAACACGGATTTTATTGACATTAGCCTGTAATACTCTGTAACAAATTTCCCCGAGCATTGGAGACGAGTGTTGATTTTCAAGATGACATTGTTAAAGGCTGCCGTGTATTGCATAACTTCGTTCGTGATCGCGATGGATTTCAGTTGGAAGATACTTTGAATGTTGTAGGATTTGAAGACACTGAATTGGAAATTGACACTGTTGGAAGTCGAGCAAATGTGCAGAGAATTCGAGATACCTTAGCTGATTATTTTGTTAGCAATATTGGGCAAGTACCTTGGCAGTACACAGCGACAGGAAAGAAAACGTTTACTGAACATTAATGGCTTAAAAGTAAAAATGGTATTTCGTATAATGTAATAAGTAGTATTTTGTGATATGTCGCCTGAAAGCCGGAATAATCTACTGCTAGGTAACAGCCAGATAAACACGCAGTCGCGAAAACATTCTGGTCAACACTCCGTTGCTAGAGAATGACTCAGCATTACTGGTTGCTAGGGAATCGATGTTTTTCTGTAGGTCAGATCCGAGTCTATATAAG